AACTGAAAACAAAATGATGCATTTTCTCAGAACTAATGTCACTTTTCACTTTGATTTTTGCAATAAGTTTTAAGTGACTGGTGTTAATATGATTTTTAGTCAGTGTATGAAGTCAGTTGACCCTATAGGAATAGAATTTTGTGAAATTTTACTCCCCTTTATTCCATCCAAGGCGTAGATGAGTGCTTCATCCGAACAGATTTGGAGAAATTTAGCATTGCATCACTTGCTCACAAATCCTCTGCCGTGAATGGGTGCCGTCAGAATAAGAGTTCAAACAGCTGATAAAAACATCACAATGATCCACAAGTAATACACACATTAGTCAATTAAACAACTTGTGGAGTGAAAAACGGTAAGTTTGTAAGAAACATTAAAGGGATAGTTCACCCAAAAATTCTAGTCATTAATTACTCACCCTCATGCCGTTCCAAACCCGTAAGATCTTTGTTCATCTTCGGAACACAAATTAAGATATTTTTGATGCATTCTGACAGCTCTCTGACCCTCCCATAGACAGCAAGGGTACTACCACGATCAACGTCCAGAAACGTAGCAAGGAGATCGGTAAAATAATCCATGTGACATCAGGGGTTCAACTGTAATATTACGAAGCTACGAGAATACTTTTTGTGGACAAAAAAAGAAAAGAAAACGACTTTATTCAACAATTTGTCTCCTCCGCGTCACCCCAGCGCCATTTTGGAGAGTATCCACTGAAAGCAAACAGCGTAGGGCTGGGAATCAATTCCAAAAAGAATCGATTCTGAGGTGTTGGGAATCGAGAGTCAATTCCTAAGGTTGGAATCGATCCCATCAAGGGGAATCGACTCCTCATTCAGAGCCGTTTTCAGTTCAACAAAGCTTATCTATTATGGGTGCCTCTCAAATTGAAGGCTGCATAACTCGGCTGCTGCGTCATCAAACGTCACTGAACGTCGATTCACAAAAATAAACTGAATAAAAACGAGTCGGTACTGAGCTCGTCTGAGTTTAAAGGGGTCATATGATGTTGCTAAAAAGAACATTATTTTGTGTATTTGGTGTAATGAAATGTGTTTATGCGGTTTAAGGTTAAAAAAACTAAATTATTTTCCACATACTGTACATTATTGTTTCTCCTCTTTGCCCCGCTTTTCTGAAATGTATCGATTTTTACAAAGCTCATCGTTCTGAAAAGCGAGGTGTGCTCTGATTGGCCAGCTATCCAGTGCGTTGTGATTGGCCGAATACCTCAAGCGTGTAACGGAAATGTTACGCCCCTTACCATATTGTGATGCCCTGTCCCGGCCGGAGCGACGAGACAAAAACATTAAAACCTATTGTGATGTTGCTATAAATGTTGAAGGACCTTTGTTAACGTCATGATGTTAAGCAATGTTCATTTTAGCAATAACTGGTTATAGCTGTTAGTCTATGTTCACTTTAAGGGGCGGGGATAGTCCGGTGCGGCTAGAGGATGGGCTAGTGAGAGAGTTGGGAGAGTAAGGGCACAGAGCAGCGAGTGCTATTCTTCCTTGTTTTCTTCCTGTTCCTTCGGTGTACGGCGGGGGGTTACGGCCATAACAGTAAACCTCCTTCAGTGCTTTAATAAAGTTACAGAGCGACTGAGAACGTCTGGTTCATTAGTAGCGAAACGCTACATTTGGTGTCAGAAGTGGGATTGGGACACTCACCTTCCTTTCATTCTCATGGCCTACAGATCAGCGGTACAGGACTCCACTTTGTGCACCCCTGCTTTGCTTATGTTGGGGCGGGAGCTCCGGACCCCCCCAGAGTTGTTGTTCGGGAAACCCCCAGACACACCAGCTGTGCCAGCTGGACCAGAGTATGCAAGGCAGCTGCAGGATCGAATGGAAACAGCCCATGCGTTTGCTAGGGATCAGCTGGGAAAGGCCGGTGTGAGACAGAAGAGGAACTATGATGCCAGGAGCAAAGGGAGGAACTTCGAGACTGGCGAGTCAGTTTGGGTGTACAGCCCGAAAAAGAAAAGGGGACGTTCCCCTAAGCTGGACTGCCATTGGGTGGGCCCCTGCCTGGTTCTAGAGAGGGTGGGAGAGGTAGTGTATAGGGTCCAGATGCCGCCTAGGGGCAGGAAGGTAGCCCTGCACAGAGACAGGCTAGCCCCGTACAGAGGTAACCTGTCCAGTTCCTTTCAAAAGAGGGGGCCCAACCCCCTGGCCTC